GGTCAAAATCACTGTCAAAATAAATGTTAGTAAGTTTTGACAAAGCTAATGAAACACGCTTACCGTTTGTATCATATGCTTGTATAAACTTTCCATTATGCTTGTAGTCATAAACGCTCAAACTAACTTTACCTTTTCTCCCTCGTATCTGATAGAATGTATTTTCACGAGGAACGAAGAACACATTCTTGAACTCATGACCGTTGTAGTTTGTTATCTCAATAGTTTTCTTCATTTATATAAAAATAAACTTAAAAATTAATGATATCACCACTCCCACACGTATGAAAACATAGCACAAAAATAAATTTAGGTGAATTGGTGAAATCTCACCTCTTTTTTCACCCGGTTTTTCACCCTGTTGAATTCATTGCTTTATAACTCTCTTCCTTGGTTTCTTTTTAGTTGCTTTCTTAACATCTGTCTCCAACTTGACTGTCTTTCTTCTTCGTCCATAATGATACCAATTACTTCCACCAGTCAATGGGTCAAATGGTCGTTCATAAGGGTTTCCATACATTCCATAAGGTCCGTATGGATAAACCGCTGGTGGAGAAGAAACATTTTCTTTAGTTCCATCGACTCTATTTAAATGCATTGTTTCACCTTTCATCTGGTCATTAAAGTCTTTTACGTGTTTTGCAAACTCATCGTCCTTTCCTAAAGCATTTTCTGACTCAGTCGCAACCAAATTGGATGCTTTATTTATGAGCCCTATTTTATTTAATCTTAACTTCTTTGCAACCCAGCCTCCAATCTTTCCTTTATTTGCATCTAATGTCTTCGAAACCCTTCCTCCACTCATTTTATTTACTGCGTCATAAGCTCCAAGTGCTTTTGCTCCAAATGCTAATGCTTTTGTTCCCATTGCGCCTAAAGCTGCCCAAGCTACCATTTACCCCATATTAAAATCATCTCTCTTCAATATTATCTCATAAAAGTTCTCGTTACTGGAGAAAGTCAATGAAACATAAGCGTTCTCACGGGCTTCGCCCTCACCGCTTTGCGGTCTATCTAACTTATTTCTTATCTCATCTATTCGCTTCAAAATATCTGAACAATTGCTAACATCTTCTACAACAGTTATTTCATCATGAATGACCTTCAAGAACAAGCTCATTTAATATGCTATTAAAATCATCTCAATAATGAGTCCATCCTTTCCGTCTTTTGGTAGCACAACATCTTTCATTGAAGAAGGTTCGACAAGTCTTATGTTAAACTTACTGACAAAGTTTGTTATACTATAATGCTTCGGCGGCGAATACATGTAGTTTGAAAGACATAATATAGATTCTTCAGCAAATTCACTTATACTGGATTTTATAACAATGTTCTCACGAGACCAAATACCACCAATTGACAATCTTGTAAGCAATCCTGCTGAACCTTCTACTGTAAACGTCGATGGTAACATTCCACGAAGGTCATCTATTGACATCGTTGAGTCACTGTATTTAAATATTTTCTTAAAGCAATCGTCATTATCTAACCATGCAATAGCTTTGAAGTTTTCATTCGAATATACATCTGCTTCATTAAATGTAAAACCTGACTTCTTTGCAGAGATGACTTTAAAATCTATTGAGTTTGTTTCAAAATTATATGCTATGGTAACTTCTGAAGGTAATGGATGTCCTTCCGCAGTAAGTTGTTCTCTCACTACCGTTTGAAGCTTTGTGTTAAAAACTTTCATGTCATCTCCTGTGTCTAGGTTCACATACACAGCAACAGGGAAACTATCTTGCTTCTTTGTTTCATCATTATATCTCAAAACATTAAAGTTCTTCAATAATATTGTTCTTCCTGCTGGAATACTTCGAACCTGTCTGATTTCAATAGCTTTCTCACCTCCTACATACTCTATCCAGTGTCTTGGATATTCATAAGTATACTGACTTTCTTGAATTTTGGTTGGTTTCATCATAACATGTTCATAGTATATCTTTATACTCTTGTCAGTTAGACTCGGTGCTATGTTCTGAATATTTCTGACTTGCATTTTTAATGGAGATAAAATGAAGCATTTAATACATGACGTAGATGAAGACATGAATGAAAGCAGTGAAAAGCTCAACAGTTCTCTCATTCTTCCTTTCAGTAAGGACTATGAGTTCTGTTCAAATGGTGTTTATTTCTATTGTGGAAAGATGGGCTCAGGTAAGACATTTAATTTAATTCGTCATATACTCATAACAGAGCGTTTAGGAAACGACTCTTACTATGACCAAATCATTATATCAGCAACTTCAGACTCTATGGACTCAACAGCGAAAACATTTATGTCAAAAGTTCAAGCCTCTGTCGTTAAAGTTCCAGACAGTGAACTCATTGAATTTCTTCAACGTTACATTCGACGTAAGAGAAAATATTATGCCATCGTTGAATTTATACAGTCAGGAATGCAAAAGACTTCTGAGGAGATGGAAAGAATTATTGACAAACACCACTTACGTCAATACTCAGGAGTTTACGATATGAAACGACTGACAAACTACATTCTATCAAAACTTTCAAAATACCCCTTCAAAAAATATCCTTCAAACACTCTGCTCGTTTGTGATGATTTCGCTGGTAAAGGTTTAGTGTCAAAACCAGACTCACCATTAGCTAACATCATTACTAAAGTCAGACATTACCACTTAACTGTAGCAATACTTATGCAAACATGGAGGTTTTTAGCTTTAAACATTAAACGTCTCATAACTGACTTCGTTATCTTTCAAGGTTTCTCACGCTATGATATTGAACTCATTTGGAAACAGTCAGGTATAACATTACCTTTTGAAGAAATTTGGGAAGCATATAAGTCTCTCATCTCTCCTCGTTCATACCTTGAGATTCATATCATGACTAATACCATTAAAGTCAAAAATATTCCATGGGAACGACCAACATTATTTTAAAGTTTAACCTTCAATTGACTGATGGTAAACAAATTCCATGCATCTCTGTCGCCATTTCTGTTAATATTTTGCTGTCATTCATATCATCCACTTCCCCATCCGTTAGCTTTTGAGGATATGCGTTAGAATAGCTGTTCTTAAATGAAGGCTTTTCACCTTTGAGAGCATAAACTCTATAACTTTCTGCATACTTTATGTTTGAACCTCCTGAGCCATCATTGACATAAATTTTTATAGGCTTCCACCCTTTGTTCATGTTCCTGCTTCTTCCCTTAGCTCTTTTGTTCAGTAGTTCTACATCTTTATACACAGCACCTGTCTCAGTGAATTCAACAATATTTTCATTCGTTAGCTTTACATTCAAACCCTTGTCGAGTATATTGTTCATTTCATACATATAAAAGGTTTTTATTCTATATGAAATGAGAAGCAAATCCATCTTAGCTGGTGCCGTTAATGTTCCAATTGAACCAACATCAAATGTTGACTCACGAACGACAAACAATATTGTCATAAAGAACTATAGTTCAGAGTGTTTGAAAGAAAAAGAACCAGAACTTAAGTCGGGACTTCGTCTTGGAGCATGGCGCCGTGAATTTAAACACAGCTTCAAACGCTAACGCTACATCAGATGTTAAGTTAGAGTATCCACCACTGGACCAAATTCTTTCAAGAGAAGCCAACGACAACCCTTACACAAATGTTCAAACAAATCCTTCAGATAACGTAGACCATTACCTTCTCAGTTATACCAAACAATTTTACTCAAAGACGATAAGAAGCTTTTGACAAATCTTATAAGCAAGAACCAAATAATTCTAACAAAGGAGGACCTTGAAAATGTTATCTCACGAATAACAGGGAAAAATGTGTCATTGACTATCTCGACCCTGAAATCGAATGCTGTGGTCAAACTCCACTATTCATGAAAATAGGTAACATCCGCATCATTGAAACACCAGGAACTACAGGAGTTGAGTTTAAGTATAAATATTCGAATGAATATACAAAACTTTCAACAGAATATAAACTTTGTTGAAATATGTTTTAGTAAATTAAAGCAGTCAGGACCTTCGGTCTTGGAGCTTTGCGCCGTCAGTCAAAAAATTTCAAGTTAGCAATTTGTAATATCTATCCAAAACTTCTTCAACAGTATCGAACTCATCTTCATAATGCAAACCTAATCTTATTGACTTGGTGCAGTTTTCACTAACACAATATTTTTCTGTTCTCTTGACTGACATAACTAACTCATTTGTTTCATCAAACAGCAACAACCAAAGTTCATGACCTAATACATAACATTCATACTTTATATTTTTAGCTCTGAGTTCTCTTGTAAGCTGTTGCATTTAATATTTTCTAAAAAGTCAACTTCAACAGTCATTCGCACTGGTGCCTTCAGTTCTACAGGCTCTCCTTGAAAGTCAACAAGTCTGAATTGCATGTCTTTCAAATTATGAGGACTAATGCGAACCCATTTACCTAAATGAGTTGCTATGACAGGAACGTTTGGAATGAACATTGAATTTACTTCATAACAGAAAGACTTATATTCTACTGAACCTTTACTATTAACTCCTGAAATACCTGTGACATTAGCTATTTTTGACTCAACGTACAAACAATTACCATAACATACATATGGAACAGATTTCATCTCAATCGTTTTGTCAACACTTTTCAAAGGAAATGTCATATGGTATGCTCCCAGAAGCAATTGAACTCTATGACTCATTCTTGGTATCTTAAACTCTTTCTCGCTGCTGAACTTCAATGTTCCCTCAGAAGAGAGTTCGACATCTATGTTGTCAATAGTTTCTTCATTTATGAGAGTATTTATGACTCCAGCAATTTTATCTATTCTATACCCAGCTCTGTTAGGAAATGTTATAACACTTCTTTTGTCATCTATTTCAATCTCTATGAAATCTGTTTCATTTGTTATGACAAAAGTTGCGATAGTATTGAAGTCAACAACTCTGAAAGCAAGCGCTTCATTCTGAAGACCTAAGTTTGTTTGTAGCTTTACTGTCCCGTATTCGTTTGGGTCTGTACTTTGCAAATAGAACAACATTTTATTCTCATTAAAATATGACTATTGCTGCATATGCGTATGAAACAAATGAAGCAAGAAGAGCACATGAACTAGTAAACGAAAACTCAACTTTAACCATTGAAGGCAATGATTTAGTCATTGACGATGGAAAAACTAAAAAAGTCATTGATTTCGATACTTTTAACACTTATGACCCATTCATTACAACAAGCAAGGTTCCCATCATAAATGATGGAACGGTGCAATATATAAATTCAACAGTAAATGCCTCATTAGTGAAAGTACTGAATGTTCTCATTGAATTGTTAAAGAGCTTTCGATTTGACGACAGCATTAAATGCCTAAAGAATTTAGTCATGAATGAGAAACAAATTCTCGGCGTTGCTGGTAGCAGTAATGATGTACACCTTATGACATTAGAATATTATAACGAACATAAAGATGAACTGAAAGGAGAGAAGGGTGACACTGGACCTCAAGGACCACAAGGAATACAAGGAATACAAGGAATACAAGGACCTCAAGGCGAAAACGGTTTGGATGGTGAAGATGGAAAGGATGGAAAAACTGCTAAATCATGGATATGGAACCTTATAAATACTGGTTTAACAGCTGCTTCATATGGAGTTCTTCAATACCAAATCGGAAAGATATGGGCAGTACTTGGTGAAGAAGTTTTAGATGACGTTAAAAATGCTTTGAACTTCATTTCAAATGGTTCGGATACTATTAAAACTTTATCTGGTTGGATGCAAGAAACAAGGAGTCAAATAGATACCGTAAGACGTATAGCAAACAATGCACGTACGGGATTGGATACTTTACGAGAAGCACAAAATACACTAAAGGAAGCAAATGATATTCTTGGCTCAGTATCAGACATGCATGAAGATTGGCTTAAAGGTATTGACAAATCTTTAAAAAATCACAGTCAGTCTATTGCTGACTACAAGAAAAGTATAGATTTTTTACATAGTGCTATGGACGTACATGATGGAAGCATAAGGAACTTACTTAATGCTAACAATAACTTACCAGGAACTATTAAAGCATTTATAAAGTCCTTTGTAAAACCTGGTGCTCTAACATTTAGGTCTTTGAGAGCAAGAGCATTGAAGTCAAGAGATGCAGAAACTCCAACAGAACCTACAGAAGGAACTGAAACAACAGAAACTCCAGAAGAACCACCAAAACCAACAGCTAATGAAATATTGTTCGAATATTTTCCAAGGTACTCTGTTCTCATTGCATACATTCAAGAAATACTTAAGAAAGCAGACTTGACTTTAGGAGATGATGAAAGTTCTGTATATCTTTCGTTCCAGTTTCAAATAGCAAACTTTTGAGACAGATATGCTTAATGTATGACAACATCTCTGATTTCACAAGATATGACGACGACCATGACCCCGAACACGGTGAAGAAGAAGTTTTACAAACATCCATTAAGACAGGAAAGGTTTTAACTCAAAGTCTCATTATTGACACCAAAGATGGCGAAGTGGACGTTCTTCAAGAGCTGAAGAAAAATACTTCTTCGGGAGGTGGTGGTAGGCATGAACTTGAAATAAATGAGATAGAAGAGAAATTAGCCGAAAAAGCAGATAAAAACCATGTTCATTATATATAGTTCAGACGAACAGATTATAACGGACTACCACGGATATTTAACACAGGATGAACAAATAAGCACTGAAGATGTTAATGAAAGAAGATATAAATTCATTCGTGCTAAAGGTTATGACATACGCTGTACTGTACAGTATGACACAGGTAAAGCACCAGAAGCATTTGGTTATAACGATGAAATTTATGCTTCTAGTTTCTCTGTTAACGGTGTATTAGTTGAACCAAGATTTACTTTGAGAGTTAAGGCAAAAATAACTTTTGAAGATGCTATTAAAAGTAAAGCCAGCAAAGATGAACTTGAAGCAATGAACAAAGTTTTGAAATCTCATAAACACAATATCTCCGATATAAATGAACTTCAAGCTACATTAAATAGTAAAGCTGACAAAGAACATACACATAAATCCTTCACTACTGTTAGAGCAGACGACATAATATTGAACTATGATTTGGGTTCAAGTGCACCTTTAGAGAATCCGAGTACAAGCGTAAAAGATACACTAAACAATTTAGATAACAGATGTATGAACATTGAAGGTCATGCCAGAAACTTTGAAGCATACGAACTACCAGCAATGTTAGATAAGAAAGCTGACAAAGAACATACACATAAATCCTTCACTACTGTTAGAGCAGACGACATAATATTGAACTATGATTTGGGTTCAAGTGCACCTTTAGAGAATCCGAGTACAAGCGTAAAAGATACTCTTAACAATTTAGATAACAGTTGCAGGAATATCGAAGGTCATGCCAGAAACTTTGAAGCATATGAACTACCAGCAATGTTAGATAAGAAAGCCGACAAAACAGAGCTTCAAACATTAAAGACTGAAATACTTCAAACATTATATCCTGTTGGTTCTATTTATACGTCAATGAATTCAACAAATCCAGCAACAGTTTTAGGTTTTGGTACGTGGAAGCAGATTGTAGATAAATTCTTATACTGTGCTAAATATTCAAAGCAAACAGGAGGTTCGAAGAAAATTAAAGAAGCAAACTTACCTGCGCACACTCATACAGGAACGACAAACTTTTCTGGCGACCATAGCCACTCATTAAGAGACCACCCATTATACAACTCAGACTATGAAGCTGGCAATGACGTTTTATCTCCATCTTATAACAATTCAGCAAAAAAGATTTTTCGACCAACTGAACCAGGAGGAAATCATGTCCATACTTTCACAACAAATCCAACAGGCTCGGGTAAAGATTATATGCCACCATTTGTGACTATATTCGCATGGTACCGCGTTCAATGAACGCGCTTGAGCCTAGAATAAAATCTTTAACTTTACATAAATGAGCTTGAAAGAAGTATTCGAACAACATCCATGGAGGTCATTTAAGAAATTCAATGAAGCTGCAAAGAGTTGGGGATTTACTAACAGAGCTGAAGTGAAAAGGTTCTTTGACAAAAATGTTGTACATCAAACAAAAATAAACCCTTACGACTACTTTTTACCAATTTACTCCAACGCTCCTGACGCATACCAATTTGACACTCTCATTCAAAGCAGAAAAGGAGGACATAAACCATTCCTCATCTTCATTAATGTTAACACTCGCAAAGCATATGCATATCCAATGAGGAATAAAGGAACTCGTGAAGTTTTAAGAGTTTTGCAGACGTTCGTGGCAGAACATCATCCCACTTCATTAACATCAGACCAAGACGGTGCATACCTCAGTAATGAAATCACAGAATTTCTCATTAAGCATAACATAACTCACTACACTACTGAAGACCATAACCATAACATACTCGGCATCATAAACCGCTTCATAAGAACGCTCAGAGATTTAAACCAAGAGCGAGACTTTACCGAAGAAACAATGAAACATTTTCTCGAAGTATATAATTCCTCAACACATTCTACAACAGGACATACACCAAATTCAATGACACAACAACAAGAAGAAAAGTATATACAAAAGAAACGAAGTCAAACACAAAATATCAGAAATTCAACACAATTTACCCTCATTCCTGGTACAAAAGTTCGTGTAGTTCTTGACGACAAACCGTTGACAAAGAAACGTTTAAGGTTAAGTCGAAATTATTATATCGTAGACTCTACTCAAGGTAATGGATATCTTATAAAAGCTGCCGACGACTCTATTGCGTTTTACCCTCGTCACAAATTAGTTGAAAGTAGTAATGGCAAACTTGCTGAAACCATTGACGAAGCAAAGCGAGGAGTGGTTATTGAAATACTTGGCTACAACATAAACGATGACACTTATAAAGTAAGATATGAAGGAGGCGTTGAAGATGTTATACCATCTAAGAACTTGAGAGAGTCAAAGCCAACACATCTGGGACCATTAGAGCGGGAGTACTGGAAAGACAAAAATAAGCCAGAAAGAATAAGAAAATTCTTCTAAACTTTTTCATTTTGTTGCTGAAAAATGACCAAATTTCATGAATTTTCATAAAAGATAAAAATAAAGTTAGTTTTATTTTTATTTATTTTTTTATCTCATATGTAAAGACAGTAATGTCAAACATTGAGTTTGAAACAGTTAGAAAGATTGACAATGACACCAAAGTGGTTAGAATTGGTGATTTAAACGTAAGATACTGTAAGAAATACAACAAATATTCTTTGTCAGACATTATAACACCATCTGGAAAGAAAACAAAGGACTGGGTTAGAATTGCTTCTACTCAGAAAATTTTGACAAGAAATCCTGAGCTCATGATATCAGTAAGATTCTATGGAACTACAGCATATCTCATTGACAAAAGTCTTATACCAATAATTCTTCTATGGATTGACCCAGTTGTTGGATATAACTTCATAACTTATGGTTCATTCGATACGGAACGTTGCAGTGAAGGCTTACTTTACATCGTTCAGAAACCGAAGGACTTCAATACAAAGAGATATAAGATAGGAAGAACATATAATATAACTCAAAGATATGACAGTACAGTCAATAGAGTCAAGGTTGTGTTCGTTAATGATATGAGAGCCGCAGAAACAGAACTACTCGAAAAGTTTGAGAAAATGTATGGTGCTCCCATGAAAGGTAAAGAAACGTTTGAAGTAGATGAGATAGATAAAGCTATAAAATTATTTGACGAAGTTGCTGAAAAATACATGTAAAGCGTTTATTTTTGGTCTTTTGTGAAAGTCAGAAAATAACACTAATTTTTATCTCGTATGTAAAGACAGTAATGACAACATCAGAGAACACAACAACTGCTATCGTTCATGAATACATTAATGAAGAATATGAATACATACAGTATAACAAACAATTGAGACTCATTCGTTCAGTCAAAGATGACATGTACCAAATGCAGAGTATTTTGACAGCATGTTTTGCTCCAGAGAATAAAACACCAAATGAATGGTTTGAATTAAATAGCACTCATGAACTCCTCAGTGAGTTTGAACATGTAGAACTTAAAAAGATGTACCAAGACAGACAAAACTTACCATCACATCTAAAAGGTATATATGTTCATAAGTTCCTAGTTAGTTCAATAGCAATGTGGGCTTGGCCCCGTTATGCAATCTACATACTTATGCTACTTGACGAACTTTGTACAAAGCAGAGAGAAGATATGATGAAAGAAGACAAAAGCATACAGAAAAGAATACCACGTTCGGTACCAAAAGGAAAGGAGAAGAGCTATAAGTATATGATTTACACTGAAGAGTTGGAGAAAGAAGAAGATAAAGATATGGTTATGTTACATTTAGTCAGAAGAAACAACAAGAGCTTTTATGACTTAGCTAAGATATATAAATCTGACAGAAACTGGTTCTATCGTGAAAACTTACCGATTTCAATGACACCGAATGAGCAAATAAAGGAAATTGTCAAAAATACTCTTCCTCAAACACACTATGACATCAAAGGTTGCACAATACTTACATTCAAAGAAGACTTAACATTACTGAAGGAAAAAATAACAGAATATTTCGACAACTTCAAAGAGGAAGAATGAAGTCACGACAACATTGACGAAGAAGTCACGACAACATTAACGAAGAAGTCACGACAACATTAACGAAGAAGTCACGACAACATTGACGAAGAAGTCACGACAACATTGACGAAGAAGTCACGACAACATTGACGAAGAAGTCACGACAACATTGACGAAGAAGTCACGACAACATTGACGAAGAAGTCACGACAACATTAACGAAGAAGTCACGACAACATTGACGAAGAAGTCACGACAACATTAACGAAGAAGTCACGACAACATTGACGAAGAAGTCACGACAACATTAACGAAGAAGTCACGACAACATTAACGAAGAAGTCACGACAACATTAACGAAGAAGTCACGACAACATTAACGAAGAAGTCACGACAACATTAACGAACAGAGAATGTTCTGTTCGTCAAGTTTATTTTGTTTTTACCATTTAATTGTTTCCATAAACGCTCCATGTCGAACATAATTGACGAACAGAGAATGTTCTGTTCGTCAAGTTTATTTTGTTTTTACCATTTAATTGTTTCCATAAACGCTCCATGTCGAACATAATTGACGAACAGAGAATGTTCTGTTCGTCAAGTTTATTTTGTTTTTACCATTTAATTGTTGTAAAATATCCATATGAAGACTAACCAAAAATAAATTTTCTTATAAAGCTTCAGGGTCAATTTCTTCAACCATTTCACTTCCTTCGTCAATGTCAATAGAAGCTTCTTCAACCTTTGGTAAGAATTTTTGTATAACATCTTTGTTCGTTATTGTCTTCAGAGATGAAGGATAATATTTCACAGATGTTTCACCCTTCTTATATTCTTTCTGTTCGGAAAGATTTAAAGCAATACTGAAGAAGTCAACGTTAGAGTTCTTTATGACAGTATAATGAGTATCTTTGACATTCACGAAGAAACTCTTTTGTTTCAAAACTACTGCTAACTCTTGTGAAGTATAACGTTTGCAGTCAATGACGATAGCTAATGGTCTGACATACTGACCAAACTTAGATTCTTTCACAAACTTCTTGTTAAAGATAACATTAACATTTGAAGCATTATTGAACTCATTCTTGATGGCAGTAGCGAGAGCATTGTATGAAAAGAACTTGCAATCTTGCATGTGTTTCATTAAAATAAAAATATTAAATTATTTTGAAAAATAACTTAAAAAATCTAATCTAATTTTTTCAAAAAATATTTTTTTATTTCCTACTAAAGATGTATCGGAAGTTGTCTAAGTTAGAACACTCGGAAATAAAACAACTTCTTACAGAAGCTAATATAGATGTTGCAAAGCATTACGCAACAAACAAAAAAGCACTCGCTGACATCCTCAATGACTATAATGGTGCAATAAGTTATGATAGAATTCATGAGTTCATAAAGCCGCAACGCGGCGAGGACGAAGTCCATGCAAGAGCATTTCCTTTAAATGACGTTGCTATTGACTTATATCATAGACGTTCAGTACCTCATGAAGTAAGAAGAGAAATGTTTGACATAACAAATGCGAACGTTGGTGAAACAAGAAGAAGAGACGACACACTGAAACAACAGAGAAGAGAGATGTTTAAGAGCGCTATAGAACAAGTTCGCAAAGCTAACGATGTCCTTCGTTCCATTGACGACAAACCAAAAGAAGGTGAGAGATGGTTAAAGAAAGATGAAGAGAATAGGAAGAGGAATGTTAAGACAGGCAATAGACTCATTGACTTTAACATCGAAGCTTTAGATGAACCAAACAGAGACTACTTACACAAACATTTCGGTAAGGTTTTCATGAGACTCTTAGAGAAGATTAAAATAAACTCCCAACAAAGATGGATGGTATGTTATAAACTTGGTGGAAAGTATGAATGTTCTACGTTAAACCTCAATAATATTGGAACATTACTACATCAGCTCTTGAAGGAGAACTTTATATCAGAGATAGAAGCAAATGCTGCAGGTATTGTTGAAATGCACTATGACTTCTTCTTGACAAACATAAAGAATCTTACCGAAATAAAGATGTATGATTTAACAGAATATGAAGGCTTAACGATGTCAGATGTAAAGAAAGGCAAACCAAAAAAGAGACCATATAGAGATGAAAGCACACTGACAAATGACCAGAAAGCCATTTTGGAAGCTCTTAAGCAAACAGGAAACCCAGCACTTATAGAAAGCTTTTGGAAAGATAATGGTGAAAAGAAGTTTTATAAGAAGAGAAGCGGTCAGTTCTGGAAGTATCTTTGCATATTACCTATAAATCTTGAACGCTACCAAATCTTCAATGAACTGAACAAAAGAACTGCAACACTTATGACAGAAGATAACTGCTTCGTTTATGCTTGCATTCAGGCTGGAGTAAATGAAGAAACTATTGACCACATGAGAGAAGTCATTCGTGTTAGAGACTTTCCTCAAAGTAAAGTACAAGAAATTTCTGACGCAACAGGTATAGCATTTAATGTTACCATTGGTTACTTCAATGACTCAAGACATAATGAAATAAAGAGATACATACCAAAAGAATGTGAAACTATTCGAACTATTGACTTACTTCTTGTTGAAGACCACTACATGCTAAATGAAAGATTACCAATGACAACATATTTCATTCGCAACTATATAGAAATCTTGAAGGAGTGTGGTGGAATGAACATTGAGAAACAGATGAAGATTTATACAAAGAGAGAGAACAAATATATTGTTCGTTATGATAGAACAACACCGTTATGGGATGTTATGAAAACATTGTGGGAGTGCAAATATTTCGAACCTATTTCTTATGGAGAACTTTTCACATATACGACTGACTTATATAAACAGAACCTTGCACCATTTAAAGATTTGACATATGCTCCAAAGTATTGTGTACAACTGAAGAAGAAAGCCGAGTCAAAAGAAGTAAATAAAGCTAAATGTAAGTTCATTCCTGAGCACGTTTTCTTTGCTGACTTTGAGTGCAGTACCGATGGAGTTCATAAAGCCTTTAACATTTGTTATGACGGTGAAGATGGTTCAGTGAGTGAAAGCATTTGGGGTCAGAACTGTGCAACAGAATTTTTGGAACGACTTCCTGACAAGAGTTTAATATATTTCCATAACTTCAGTTATGATATAAACTTCATCTCAAGACACATGACAGAAGTGAAAGGAACTCCCATCATTAAAGGTTCACGAACAATGCAAATAACTGGCTTATATAAAGGAAGGGCAATTATTATTAAAGATTCATACAGTGTTATAAATAAGAAGCTTAAACTATTTCCTGAAATGTTTCATTTGCAGTGTGGTGAAAAGGAAGTATTTCCGTATCAATATTATTCAAGCTCTTTATTAGCAAATGACAACAGAACTGGTGTCATTTCTGAAGCGTGTAAGTTTATCCGGGATGCGGATACGTTCATGAAAAACATAGATTCCATCAAAGGTTGCAGAATAGATGAAAACCACTTCGACTTAGAAAAATATAGCTCATTTTATTGCAAACAAGATGTAAGAATTTTAAGAGAAGGTTTTGTTAAGTTCCGCAATGATATATTAAAAGAATTTGATTTAAACGTTTATGACTACGTTAGTATTTGTTCTATTGCTAACAAATTGTTTGAGAACAGAGTGTACTTCCCGAATGGAAATTTATATGACCTCTCAAATAAACCAAGAGAATTTATTTCACGCTGTATTCAAGGTGGAAGATGTATGCTGTCAGATAACATGAAACAAAAGAGCGAAAAGAAACTCATTGCTGATTTCGACGCTGTTTCATTATATCCATCAGCTATAGCAAGACTTTATACTTTAGAAGGTATTCCAAAGGTTATGAAGAAAGAAATGTTAAGCACAGAGTATCTCATGAGACATTTATTCAACGACGACCAAAAGGAACCCATTGATGAAAAGTTTATGTCTGGCTTCTTTGTTCTCATTAAGATAACAGAGATTGGAATACATAGACACTTTCCTTTAATAGTTTGTGACCTTGAACTAAATCCAGAACTTAACGTTCCCAGAAGTTCAAACACTTGCTGTTTAATGTATGTTGACCATATAACATTACAAGACCTCATAAAATATCAAGGTGTCAAATGTGAAGTGTTGCAAGGATACTATTACGATGGAAACAGAGATATTAGAATAAGAGATGAAGTAAAGAAGTTGTTTGAGTTAAGGTTAAAGTATAAGAAAGAAGGAAATCCTTTGCAAGAAAATATAAAGCTCATTCTGAACAGTATTTATGGCAAAACTATTCTATCTCCTATTGAGTCAAAAATAACCATAGTAAATGACAAAGATGCTATAAGATATGCCATCAGAAACTACAACCATATAGTGAAGTTCGAAGGTTTGGATGGTTCAGATAAAACTATTTTCAAGCTAACGAAAAGTATTTGCAGACACTTTAACTTCTGTCCACTTGGTGTTAACATTCTGTCAATGTCGAAGAGAATAATGTGTGAAGTATTCTGTACTGCTGAAGATATGGGTCTTCAAATATTTTACCAGGACTGTGATAGCATGCATATTTTCAATGAAGACATCCCAAAGCTTGCAGCAGAGTTTAAGAAGAGATACGGTCGCGAACTTATAGGAAAGAACCTTGGTCAATTTCATTCTGACTTCGCAGAAATAACACCTGGAAAACAAAGTTTAGCATACAAGTCAATATTTTGTGGAAAGAAGACCTACATAGACTTACTCACTAACGATTTAAATGAAGTTGCATTCCATGCACGTTGCAAAGGTGTCAAACAAGACGTCCTTGCTTTAACAGCAAATGAAATGTTTCCTGAAGCTATACAATGCTATTACAATGAAGATAAGAACATTCACATACCTGTTGGAACATATGACAAAGACTCTGAGTTTAGTTTAATGAAACTTTACAAAGCACTTCATGATGGTCAAGAGATTGGATTTGACTTATGTAAGTCTTCTAGTCCTTGCTTTGCTGAAAAGTGTAACTTCTCAATAACGACTAAAACAAGCTTTATTCGTAAGTTGAAGTTCTGAGGTCATTTATTTTTGTCAGCAATGAGGTCATGAATGAGGTCATTTATTTTTGTCAGCAATGAGGTCATTTATTTTTGTCAGCAATGAGGTCATGAATGAGGTCAGCAATGAGGTCATTTATTTTTATCAGCAATGAGGTCATTTATTTTATCAGCAATGAGGTCATGAATGAGGTCAGCAATGAGGTCATGAATGAGGTCATTTATTTTTGTCAGCAATGAGGTCATTTATTTTTGTCATGAATGAGGTCATGAATGAGGTCAGCAATGAGGTCATGAATGAGGTCATTTATTTTTGTCATGAATGAGGTCATTTATTTTTGTCAGCAATGAGGTCATGAATGAGGTCATTCGTGATAAAAATAAGCCGCTAGCGTAGATTTTACAATACTGCGATGGTAGAGTTTAAGAGTTGTGCTTCAATGTAGAGACAGTCCTTATGGTCTGGAGGTAAGAACACTGGTGCTTTATGGTCATGAGTGGAGAACATGTCTATCCAAAACTCACGATTGAAGCCAGTTAATTTTATAGTATTTAGGGTTAGGAAGTGGTGAAGTTTTGTATGACCATGAACTCATTTTCAACTCCCTTACTTAAGTTTGAATATAATATAGCTTGCTTTCTATCCCAAATACCTGGAAATCTAATTTCGGAAAATTCATTTTTCCTCGGAAGCATTGCATCATAATTGAAAACATTCTTGAAATCATCACTTGGTTCAGAGATTTGAAATCTTATACGTAATGGATTTTTTTTCTCTTTAGCGACTTCATTGAATGGTGAGAATACAATGAATTGACAGTCATGAGTTCCATCTTCATTTGGTACAAACTCGTAATGAAAGCTATTAATCTTTCTACAATTCCTTCTTCTTTCAGTTGTGCAAGAAACTCACGTAAAGGCTGTAAAGTTTGTACTTCAATGTTGAACTTCTTTTGAAAATTTTCGTAAAATGTAATTATACAGTCTTCTAACGTCGTACTGTTTTTAAAGTATTTGTATATGTGAATGTTTTGGGCGCTTAAAGACTGTTCGTCATTTTCTATCTCGACTTGAAGTATAAAGTCAACCTTTCTGAAAGCACGTGTTATATACATATTTGTTATGCCAATGTACTTCTCTTCATTTATGTTCACAATCCAGTCTGTTGGAAACTTAAACGTTACTCTGTTCCCCTTTATTTTGACGTCAGGGTTTTCACTACTGAACGCAACAGATAAAGGTATTTGTCTATACATTTAATTCGGATAAAAATAAACCATTTACTCTTTCTTTGCTTCAGCTTCTTCTCTAGCTTTTGCTTCAGCTTCTTTAGCTTTTGCTTCAGCTTCTTCTCTAGCTTTCTTCGCCAGCAAACGTGGGTTCTTCTGTCTTCCAGCAGCTAATGCAGCAAGTTGTTTTTCACTAAGTTTTCTCTTTGGTCTCTCTGGCTTTTGTTCTTGTTTTTGTTCCTTCAGTTCGGATAAAATTTGCTCACGAATTTCTTTCTTCAATGCTTCAACATCTATGACCCCTTGGGTCTTGTCCGTAGGGCTTGTCTGAGTCATTTGACTGTAGATAAAAAACAAAATTAAAACTTTAACCGATGTAAAATGAGCTTGTCAAAATCAGAGCGAGAGTCTATTATATTAAATGACGCAAGAGGAATACAACATCCTTTCTATTACGTAAGTCAGAGTAAAGATGGTAAAATATACGTAAGAAAAAGAAAGGTTCCATTAGCGAATGCAGAAAGCGACAACATTAAGGTGTATGGCAAGGGTGAAGTCCACGAAGCCCATGTTAAGCCTTCTATTCAAACTGAAAAGTCAATAGAACCAGAAGAAAAGAAGCCAGATGTACTTTCAATAACG